TCGGCGGGCATGTCCTTCTATCGCCAGATCGACGGCCGTGCCGCAGACGATCAACGGAAAGAAAATTGAACTCGCACGCTCGGAGATAGCGTGGATCAACAAGCACCTTTCAGCCACGGCCCCCTGGCCAGGCGGCCACAAGTTTGGGGCGGCGCCTACAGTGTAAACGCACGCGGGCTCTAAAGTGGTCAATGGGGGGGCAAAGCGGGGCCCGCCGAAAACTAGCCCGAAAAAACGAGAAAGCATCTCGAATGCTTGAACACACCATGCGCTGATTATGGCGCGGCGGTAGGGGCGCGAGAACTCAACGTCGGAACCGAGGCCCTTCGCTAAACACAACGGGCGAGACGCGGGGCGAGAGCTAAACTGACGCGTCGCAATTCAGGGCGCACCGCGCACGGCCCCAGAGAATCCGCGGCACCCGACGCTCCGCAGTTCCAGCAGCATCTGACAAGACCGCGGTGAAAGCGAGCACCGGCGCAAACACCTCGAGCAATAATAGGATAACAAAAAGGGACATAAGCATAAAAACTCTGAGGTCCGCGCGGACCTCCGAGTTTTTATGTTTATGCCACTTCTTGTTCCCCTAAATAATACGGGGAACAGCCAGCCTCAAATAACAGCAGCTACGCTTGGCTGGCACTTCACGGGCTGCCCGCACGACCCCTGAAACTGGAGAGGCGCGCGCCCTGGGAAGCCAACAGGCGACGCGCATCAGGAGACATCTGATCAGGGAGACAGGGGGGCCCGCATCCTCGGGCGACGAGGCAACGTCTTCTGGGGCCAGCCCGCCCGTTGGACAGTCGCGCCGAGAATGCTAGACTGCCGAGTTGCGACAATTCAACGCGCGACAGAATGATGCCACCATGGAGGCCGCGCGCGCCCAGGGTTACATTCACCATGCGAAACCCGACCCCAGCGGAGACAGCAGACTTTCGAGGCGGAGGCAGAGTGGCGCGCAAAACGAACCTGAGTCGCAACTCCAAAATATCCAAGGTCAGGGAAATCAGCCCCGAATCCTAGGTCGCAGAGCCGCGCCCGCATTGCGCGAATTAATGAACCCCCCTGGGCCCGCCATCGATTTCTGTCGCTTCCCGCCGCCCACCCCTGCCACCTCCGTCGAGACGGGGCAGAACTGCATCAAAGAACGGAGAGAGGAGACGGCGAACACAACATGTGTGCGGATGGACCTAGCAAATCCGAGACGATGCCCTCGAATCTCGACGCAGCGCCGCCGGCGCTTCTGAGGGCCAGCATTCCAAACGGCGTCGCATCCGTCGGGCCAGACATGAATGTCCCACTGCCTCGCGACGAAATAGTCGGATGTTCTCAGCTCCGCGCCCCCAAGACATTCAATTGAACGCCCCGCGCGCGCCGCCTCGTTCTGGGAGACAGGGTAAGACCGCAGTGAACCGACGCGTATTTCCCGAGATTGCCTAAGCCCAAGCCAAAGACCATATTCGAAGATCTGGGGCAGGGGTAATCGGGGGCAGCTCTAGGACCGCATTCCGAAGCCCAAACGAAAGATCACCCGCGCGACTCAAGATCTGCCGCGGAAGTCTAGACGCCAGTAATCGCGCGCGCGGATCCAGCGCAAGAGCGAAGAGAGGCTCGATAGATGGCCCCCCTCTGAAGCTGGATATTTTCGGCGCCGCTCGCCGCCGAAGCAGACGGCCCCCGAGTTCCCCGAGAAGAGCGCCAAAGACGCAAGAGATCCCGGAACCCGGGGCATGGAGAAGACTGTATTGTGTCCGAGGGCGCCCCAACACACATCAAACCCCGCTCTCCTGGCCATCATCCGCTTAAAGTGAGTCGTGGGTGGGCGGGCAAGCAAGGAAAAGAGAGGAGCAGCATAAACAAGGGCGGGGGTAGGGGGCTCTAGCCTCCCTCTCCTCCCCCTCCTCCGTCTCCTCTTCCCCCAAACGCTCAGAGCCCCACCGAATCCACCCAGAGTCATCAGACCCTCTTGGAATCATCTAAGTATCCCCCAGAACTTCCCCGCTCCCCCACGAGCCCGTCCTCCTCGCCCCGCCCCCGCTCCCCCTGTCTCCCATTTGTTTTGTTTTGTGCTCTCTCTCTCTCTCTTTCCCTCTTTCCCTCTTGTGTTTGTTGTGTTGTTGTTGCTATATGGATGCCTTTATTATGTTTGTTTGTGTTCTCTCTCTCTCTCTCTTTCTCTCTCTCTCTCTCTCTATCTCTCTCTCTCTCTCTCTCTCTCTCTCAGTCAGATAATCCGAATTGGAGGCGCAGCCAACTCACGGCGATCGAGAAGATCGGCAGGGGGCTGTGGGCCCGTCAGAAGGGAGGGTGGAGGCTTGGTCCATCCCCGCGCCCTTGTCAAACAGGCCCCCAAAGTTCACGGTGTCGGTGCTTTCCTGAGGCCTCCCCAACCTCCTGCCCGCCGCAGCCGCTGCGGTCCCCTCAAGATTTCCCTCTTACACGAAGGCGTGTTTGGTGGCCTCAGACGCGTCCTTGGTGATCCGCCCCATCGATCATAAGAGGCCTCCCAAATGGAGTCCGAGTAGGTCGGGTCGGAAGATTGCACCACATCGAGCCGCATCGCCGATGCATCGGCGATGCCGCGCGATCCGTCGACCCCATCTCCTCCTCCTCCTCCTCCTCCTCCCCACCCTCCTCGCATCCCCCTCCTCCTCCTCCCCCTCCCGCTGGACTCGCAGCGGTCTGCCCCGCGGGCGCACAGCCGGCAGACGCCCCCACCTTGGAGGCGGCCGATGGAGGCCCAGAAAATCGGCCAGGAAGGGTGAAGCCAGATCCGATTAAATTCTATAATAATAATAATAAATAATAATAACAATAATAATAATGATAATAATAATAACAATAACAATAATAATAACAATAATAATAACAAAATAATATTACTAATAATAATAATATTATTATGATTAATAATAGTTTTTTTAAAGCATGCTAATGCTGACACTTAATATCAAATTACTAATAACAACACGACTAAACATAAACATAATAGTAGTACCAGCAATACTAATAAACAATGATACTACGATTAAGACTAACATACTAATGCGCCAGAACTCAAGAAAAACTGCAAAACGAAAACGGGGGAAAACTGCCCTGACATTTCCAAGAACCACACAGGAGGCACTTCCCAATGTCCAGCCTGTGCCGTTTTTCACCCCGCATCAATTTTTGCTCGCCCCTGGGTTCGACAACGGCTTCCGGAGGCCGAAAAAGTCAAACAAAAACGTCCCGAACCCTAGAACCTCGAACCTGCTCGCTTTTTCGGTTGTGTGGAACAAGTACTGGGCCACCTCCGGCCCCAGATGGCTCCAACCCCCACCGTCCCTCGAACGGGACGGTTCCCTCAATAGTGGACGGCTGTCTGCAACAGCGTCCGCTCCCAGGGGCAGGTCTGCCAGCCAAGGCCTACAAACTACCTATACACGAGAACTTGTCCAGGAATTCCCCCTCCTCCTCCCCTCCCTCGCCCCTGGAGAGGAGGACGAGGAAAGGGGAGGAGCGGGACGAAGAGCGACGAAGGGCGCCCTCGCAAATGGAGCGGAGGAGCGGGACGAGAAGCGACGGAGACCCCATCTTCGTCCTCACCCCCCCAGAGAGGAGGACGAAAAATATGGACGAGAAGGATTGGGCGCGGCACGAGAGCAAGCGTCGGCTCTCGGCCAGGGGGTTCGGCCTGGCTGCGCGGAGCCCCGCAGCGCGACGCCCTCGTCGGGAACCGCGGGGAGCCGCGCATCCCTCGCGGCCGCTGCGCTGAGGACGGCGCCAGGGCCTGGCGCGGGGGGGAGCGGGGAGGGAGGATGGGGGAGCGGGGACGGGGAGAGGGGAGGGAGGGAGTGGTGGGGGAGGACCAGGGCGTGCGGGACGGATGAGCGGCGGCAGCGGTCCTTAGCGCTGCGACGGGCGAGGCGGGAGGCGACACCTACAATGTGGGGATCGGCGGTTGCGAGAGCAACGCGCAGTGGGCAGTGGTGCATTGGCAGCATGAGCCGTGGCCTGAAGCCTCTAGGGCGCGTGCGCCGCTGGCATCCTGGTGCGGTTCGCGCGCGTGGGTGTGCGCGGGGGCGTGCCCCTTTCGGACGCAACCGAAGCGGAACGAAACGGGGAAGTAGGAAGCGAGGCTGCGGGATCAGGGACGAGGGCGAGGACGACGAGGAAAGGCGCACACCTCCCCCGAAGCTCCGCGATGAGACGGAAACACACACTGTGCCGGATCGCTGCGGGGAACCCGAACTGTGAAACAACATCCACTTTAGCTGTGAACAGAGGACCCCTCCACTTCAGCTTTCACCCAAACCTCGCCCGAGCGTTGATTTGCGCGTCCGTCCTCGGGCGGCCTCAGCCATCCAAACTCTGAGACCTCAGTAGCCAATAGCTCGAGTGAGGAGCAACACCCACCCCTAACATCCAACTGACAACGATCCCCGCCTCCCTCATGGTCCAGTGAACTCTCCGTCTCAGAAACTTGGCACGGCGGCAGAGGCGCTAGATTATCAAAGCCCTCATCGTGGAACTGGACTGGTGAATTCCCCGTCGCAGACGCCTGACATGGTGGAGTCGGGCGTTCACAATCAACATCTCGCAATCGCCATCCCGAGGACTCGGCCAAGCGGAGTCGGGCGATCACAAACATCATCATGAACAGTGACAGGCGGCCTTTGCCGATTCGAACCAAGAGGCTTCATCAGCTCAAAATAATCAAACTGTGAGGGTTGAATTCTGATAGCACTGCTGAATGATTGACTCTCCCCTGCAACCTCCGAGACCCCGGCGCCCTCTTTCAGTGCCTGCGCGCCTCGCTCCACCGTTTCGCCCCGCCCGAGACCGCCGGGACCCGCATCTCGAACGCGCCCCGCGGGGCCGACCCCGCGAGGCGCCGGCGGCAGATCCCAGCTAGAATCGGCGGCGAGGGCGGCTTTGAGCTGGGTGCCCGCAGGGGTGGGGCGAGTGGAGATCCGCAGCTCGACCTTGCTCTCCGTCTTCTCGCCGCAATCCCCCCCTCAGCTGCCGGGCCGAGGAGTGCGCCACGCACTCCGCGACGTCTGCTCGGCTGCTTCTGCTGGGTGCCCCTTGTGCCAGAACTCGGTCGTAGGGCCCTCCCCCGATCCGTCGCCATTCTCCGCCGCGGACTTCCTCGCCGCGCCCATGACCACGTGGGGCGCCCGGGTGCGCGGTGGGCCCATGGCTCCGAGGTCCACGCTGTCGTCGGACTTCTTGCGCCTGCAGCCGCGCCACAGCCTTCGCGCGCCGCTGGCTGGCTGCGACCCCCGCGCGCGCGAGGAACTGGCCTGGGAGTAAGACATGTCTGTATCGCGTCGCTCTCGAGCGCAGCGGTGCATTGCGCGCTGCTCAAGCTTAGCCTCGTCGTGGCCCCCAAGGGGCCATCCTCAGCCATGGCCCGACGCCCGGGGCCAGCGCCTCCTCTGCTGCTCTCCGCCATCCTGGCAGTCCTTGGGGCCGGCCCCCCATCGGCCGCGCGCGCGGCGCCGCGCGCTCCAGCGGCCCGCGCGGGCCTGTCGCCCGGCGCGAGGCCCCCGCTCTAGTCCTCGGAGTGAACGTCGGGCGCGACACAGGGGCCGCGCGCGCGGTGAGGAACACTCCGAGCCACACAGGCCACGTCGGATGCGATGGGGTCGAACCAGGGGCCCGAACGCCAGGCATCGCCCGTTCAGGAGGGCGCCGCGAAGGCGTTTTTCGCGCTGCCTCCGAGAGGACACAAGACCCTTCCGAGGGCCACATTGCCGCAGGAGTGTAGGAAGCATGGGTCGCGAGACACAGGACATAAGGGTACCCTTGATTTAGCAGGGTCGACCTGCTAATCTGGACCGACTGTAGTTGCCGCGAGAACCTGCGACGCCTTCAGAGCGCCGTGTATATGGCGAAAGTGATTCACGAGTCCCTTTCTGGATGCAAGCGCGGCCCCGCAGGGCCCATCGCCCCTCGCGCAAAGGCAGGCGCGCGACAGCGCAGCGGCGAGAGCGGCTTCTTCCAGAACAACATCACCCCAACTGAATCCCAGGCGGGGCCACCTCGACATCGAAGTGCTAACTCCAAAAAGCTCCGACATCCACCCGCATTAAATGGCTCAAGGCTCAAGGCTCGAGGGGCAACACCAAGATCAACCTCCCACACCCGTGTCCGGTCTCATCCACACCCGTGTCCGGGATTATCCTCTTACACCATCTTCTACGATGTCAACTCGCAAGCCCGGCACGCCAATAAAAGATGTTTTACAGCCGCCATCTGATGGTGTTCAACAAGCAGCTGGAGCACGGCCTAAACGTCCGGAACGTCCCGAGGTACATGCTCTTGCCACACCGCCGCCTAGAAGTGCACTCAAACAAGCACGGCTTGGAAGTCCTGCCGCGGCCATGGAGGACGAAGCAGTTCAAGGTGAAGTTCATGATCTACAGCCCCAACACCTACAATTTCCCCGCGGCGCCGCGTCTACAGGAACCGGGTCGCTCAACATTGGCGCCGAAAACGACGACGACGACGACTTGGAGGAAGACAAGCCGATCACGATGAAAGCCATGCGGAAAATGTTCAAGAAACACCTTGATCCCACGATGCGGGCAGTCCGGAGTCTTGGGAACGAGTTCAAACATCTTCAAGAAACTGTCAATACCGACATCCGCCATCTCAAAACGACCATGAAGGCAAACGTGGAGGAGAACAATATCCGTATCACAAACATGGAAGATGATATTGAACATATACATGATCACATTGACGGCCGCATCGAGGAGATTCGGAAAGAAATGGCAGCGCTGAAAACAAGTACCACACCGAGATCTACTGGGGCATCTTCGGCGACAGGGGCACATACCATATCGACACTCGTACTTGGAGGGCTACCACAAGATACGCTCGACGATGCGGAAACGTGGGTATCAAAGATATTGGAAGACGCTGGATGCACAAGCCCTTCGAAGATCTATAAAAAGGCCCCCCTGAAGAAAGTTTCAAGGGCATGTTATTCGTCGAACTGTCGTCTGTAGAACCATCCCAACAAGCCTTGCCTATTCTTCAGGAAGCGTGTGGACGACAACACCCAAGGCAAGGATCCCGCCGGGTATGGTGGTATGGTGCAACGTGGACGCTCCTATTGAGGAGAGGACTACCACTTCATTGTTATTAGGCCTTCGTTACCTTCTCACGCAGTGGGGCTTCAACAAGAAGTATGTCAAGGTCGACGGGGACACTGGCGTCCTCAAAGCTGGGGGAAAACAGATACTTAAAATGCACGCTATCAACTATAAGCTAAACTTGGAATGGTTAGATACCGAATGGGAGGCATGGGAAGATCTTCAAACATCCCCAGACTGGCAAGAACTGCAAAAGAAAGCTTCTGATCGTTTGGAGGCGAGCGCGGCCAACGCGGCCAAAGGGGCCGGAAAAAGGAAACCTAAGAATTGAAGGTGCCAAGGGCGCCGGGCTGTTTCACCTTCGGGGTCCGCTGACCCTTGGATTTCTCCACATCCGATTTCCCCCGCGGGCAGAATGGGCAAAGATACCATCCATCCTGTTGGGCCGCATCCTCATGAACACCACTCTGGACTACGGTGCGCTACGTGGAATGTACGTGGTTTGACACAGGAAAAGGTTTTGGAAATAACAAAAAACACATGGAGACATACAACATACATATTCTTTGCATGCAGGAAACACGGAAAACAAAAGCAGAAGACTACGTAGATGAGAACAGTGGCAGCCGCATCATTCTTTCTGGAGAAGATACAGATGCAACATCTTGGTCTGGAGTCCCACCAGCCCTCTGGGCGTCGGTGGTTTAGAGCGTTTCCTCTTCCACCCCTCCTTCTTCCCCTTCGGGGAGGGGTTTACCCCTCCCCCTACCCCCTCCCCACTGACCTGGACAGGGGGTTCCGCGGCGCGTTGGAGCGCCCAAGATCGACCCCTGGGAGGGCTAAAATTCGACACCCCTCACGAGGATCGTGGCTCCTGAGGGGGGGGCTGTAATTAGGGAACCCCCCTTCGTTGATCGATCTCCTCCAAGATGGCTCCGAGGCCCCCCAAGAGGCCCCCAGGAGGCCCCCAAGAGACCCCCAAGAGGCCCCAAGAGACCCCCCAGAGGCACCCAAGAAGCGCCCAGGAGGCCCCAAGAAGCGCCCAGGAGGCCCCCAAAGGCCCCAAGATGGCCCCAAGAGGCCCCAAGAGGCCCCCAGGAGGCCCCAAAGAGGATCCCGAACGGCCCACAGAGGCCCCCCCGAGGCACCCAAGACGCCGAAAAGCCCCTCAGGACGACCCTCTACTCGCCTGGGCGTCGTTTCTGGACGGGCTGGTGGGGATACGCGAAGCGTCTAGAATTGGCTTCATCATCTCTCCCAGTCACGTGCCTCTGGTACGATCTTGCAAACAGATCTCGGAAAGGATCATACAATTGAACATCAAAGTTGGTATTCGTATATTCGGGATCTTCGGCGTGTATGCACCCCACAACTTGAAGCCCTTGCCAAAGAGACGCATATTTTGGAATACTCTGGACACCGAGTTCCGGACGTGCTCAGCCACAGCCGGCAAGCTTATCATGGGGGACGTGAATGCACGAGTTGGGCATGCAGATGCTGGGGAATCGACGACAATAGGGCCATTCACTTGGGGTAGGCGGGCCTTACATCAAGTCGAAGTTCCCAATCGAGATTTGCTCATGGAGTTTTGCTTTGGCCTCGAACTAAGATTGGCAAATACCTATTTTGAGCGGCCTCTGGAAGACACCGTTACCTTCATGGAGGCGGGCGCCAAACCACTGGGGCCTATTACCGAGGACAAGTGCAACATTTTGGATTACATCATGTGCGATGCTCCCACCTTGGCCCAAATACGTAGTTTGAAAACACACCGCGGCGCAGCACTGGCCACGGACCACTACTTGATGACAGTGGACATTCAGCACGCTCAGCATGGCGATCCATTGCCGCGCAAACCGCCTAGAGACAGAGATCTGCTTCGAGACCCCGCAGTGCAATTAATGTATGCAGAAGCATTTCTGGACGAGATTGTTGGCCACGCGAGTCCCCAGAACGTGGACGCTTTGTGGGAGCAGGGTGCACATGCAGCGCTAGCAGCCGCCACTGTTTTACCACGCCGCCAGGAAGAAGTAAAACGGCCATGGGTATCTCAACGCACATTGGCACTGATACAACAAAGAAGCGAAGCTCGTGCCAGTAACAATCGTCAAGAAGAGCGACGCTTGCTGAAAGAAGTAAGGCGATCTTGCAAAATCGATAAGACAGAGTGGATGGACTCAAACAAAGCATCGGGGCGCTGGGACGATATTCGGAGATTTTGCCGACCACGACAACATAAGCAGGGCAAGCTTCAAAACTTACAGGGGCAATTGGTGGCAAGCCATGAGCGCGCAGATACAATGGCAACTTATTTGGAGCAAATGCAATGGAAAGTACGGCCGGCAAATTTGGTTGACAACGAGGCCTTGGGACCGCCACTTCCCGTCGACGAGTCGGCTTTCACCGTGCAGGAAGTGGGGAAAGCAGTGCGGAAACTCAAATGGGGAAAGGCAGCAGGACCGGACGACATTCCCGCAGAATATTGGAAAGCCATATCACAAACACCTGGCGGGCTAAAGTGGGTTACAGAATTATGCAATTCAACATGGGCGGAGCACAGAGTTCCCGAAGTATGGCGGCATGCCACTGTGAGCACAATCTACAAGAACAAGGGCCCTATCCACATGTGTGAAAATTACCGGCCAATTAGTTTACTATGCGTGGCGTACAAACTCCTGGCCAACCTCCTACTACAACGACTACAACAGGCAGGGGCAGAAGACCGGCTGACCCAAACTCAATGCGGGTTCCGCCGTGGGCGTGGTACAACAGACGCCGATCACGCAGTACGCCGTCATATCGAGCTCGCGCACGCCAGGAAAGATGGTGGGACTACATTTGTTGCCCTGGCCTGGAAAAATGCATTTGATTCCATAAACGTCGAAGCATTGTTGACAGCTCTGGGCCGCTTTGGGGTACCTCTGAACATGCTCACGCTGATTGGAAATATTTATGAGGCCAGGCGATTTTGCGTAGCCGACGGGGCCATCAAATCTTCTGAAAGAAAACAAATGTCTGGAATATCACAGGGGTGTCCGTTGTCGCCTTTTCTTTTCGTCATGTTGATGACTGTGGTCCTGCGAGAAGCCGTGAACAACCTGAGCGACAATGACAAGTTCGATATGGTCTCTGGAAGTCTTTCGGTGCTGCTGTATGCCGACGACACGCTGCTTATCGGAAGAAGCCAAGCCAGCTTACAAAACCTCCTAGACAACATCGCTTTGGCGGGGGTGCGGGTTGGAATGGAGCTG